CCATTGAAACAAAATTTTAAGTCTAATGACCACTAGGAAAACTAAGGGTCCGTGTGATTGCAAGGGTAGAAAGAAAATGAATTTTAGAGAAAGTAATTGTCTAGAACTTGTTATGTAGGGAATTGTTAATTAAGTGTGTTTGATTGATATAATTTTTCACCCGAAATATTTTAAAATTTTGGATATTTTTGTGTTCGTTTGGCTTTGTTTCAAATGGAAATTGTCCATTAAAGTGATAATTTTTACCAATTGGTTATAAATTTGTTTCCATTGCCAAAAACTAAAAAAAAAAATTTCGGCTAATTAGCACAAAACGTCCCTAACTTTGGGGTTGATTTCGGAAACCGTCACTTCCTTTCATTTCTTGGCATTTATGTCCCTACCTTCAACATTTTGTGCACTGAACTTCCTTTTCACATGTTTTTGACGATTTTACCCCTTATTCAAATAAAACAAAAAAAAAACAATCCAACTAATTGCAACGATATGCCTAAACTTTTTAAAAAGTACAAATAACTCACTAAACTTCACCTTCTTCCCACAACTCACAAAAAAAAAAAAAACCGAAAATTCCAATTTCCCACCAAAAAGGTAAGGTGGGAAATTTAATTCCTCCAAATCCAAGAAATAGTGCACGTGTGAAGCTTTTTGGGAAAATATTTTTCAAGACAAATTTATGGTATCAAACAAGGCAAAAGTTGGAGCCACGGAAAATTTGTATTTTCAAACAGAGCCTAAATGCTTTTCAATTCTGCGAGTATGAAATTTTGAGTAAAATGAGAGATTATTACCGAGAACAACGTTGACCCCGAGGTGGAACCGTCGGATGAGCCACGAGATGCCTTCTACTTGGTGAGGCTTAAGAGTTGCGTTGATTTGGAGGTCGTCAGTGTTTATATTCGCCTCTGCGGTTAGTAACTCTCCGGCGTAGACGAATTTCGCCGCCGCGATTAGTCTCTGCGAGTAGTTCATGTTTCCGAGTTTCGGTAGTGGCGGTGGAGGACAGTGGGTTTGTGCTTTAAATTTCTTAAAATTACGATAATGCCCTTAGTAAAATAGGCATTCACGGATACTCCAAGGGTAATCAGTTAACAGTAATGAAGGGTAAGACCGTACATTAAATTGCAGGTGGGGGATCGCGAAAGCTTCCAAATCCTTGATTTAAGCTCCGAGTGAACTCAACACTCCGCGAGTAGCTCAGTGTACTAACTCGTTCACATGTAATTCGACGAAAATTAGCGGCAATATCCCCAGTCATTGACGTATGTTTCAATTTAGTCCCCAAATAATACATTTAGGTGAAGTTTCCAATAGTTCAAAATTTTCAGAATGGTGTCTAGAAAATATTTTTATTTTGTTTGACTAACGAAATATCATATTTATCTTTAGGGGAAAAAACATATTTTAAACTTCCATTAGTCGAAAGATGATAATAAGCCCCCTGTTCAACCACTATATTTAAAAAAAAAAAAATCAAATTCATTTTTAACCGTACATTCTATCAATAACATAATTTTTCAAGCCCATTAAAAAGAGTTTTCTAGGAAAAATATATTTTGAAATAGTGATTTTCATTTTAGAATGAATGGTTAAAAAGTAAGGAAAAATTTTAAATTTACGTGCAAAATATTTTATTGCGAAAATGTGTTGCTGGAAATGGGTTTTAGAAAAAGATTTTTAAAAAATTGGAAAATGATAGACAAATAGGAGTATAGCATTTTTTAGAATTGTTTATAAATAGTATAATTATAAATAAATAAAAATAATTGATATATAAATGGGTAATGCTTATTTTAAAAAATGCTTGTAGTTCATCACTATTTACATAATCTTGTACAAATTATAATGAGGTGTCAAAAGAAAGTTAGAATTTTTTTTATTTGATTGATAAAATTTTGCCCAATGAAACATTGTCATATTATCTGTTGATAAACAAATATGTAAGTGCTATGATATCCATATAGTTCAGCTCATGTTTGTCTTCCATTAAACAAAACTCTTTTTTCTCCACCTTATTTTCGACCACACATTCTCACAATAAAATATTTTTTTCTTAAACTCAATTTTTTTTTCCTACTTTCTAATCATATATTCTAAAAAAAAAATCACTATTCTAAAATTTATTTTCTCCAAAATAAATAATATTTTTATTGAAAGGCAAACATTTACTTAAGTGTGTATAAACAATTTATAAACATGGACCAAATATAAGTTAAGATTATTATGTGTTAATAAAGAACGAAATAAAATTATAAACGTCGGTATTTGTGATAGAATAATGTTAACTAGCACTAGTGGTGTTAAATAACAATATAGGTATTACCATGTAATGAACTCAATGAAAGATAAAATCAAGTGATTCATTTAATTATTTATCTCATTTAGAGCATGTTCGAGCACTATTTTTTAATGAAAATGTATCTTGGAATAGTATTTTGATCGATAATATGTGGTTAAAAAATAAGGAAAAATTTTAAGTTTGCGTATAATATTATTCTATTGAATAGTCTATTGTTAAAAATAAGATAGAGAAAAATATATTTCAAAATTCATCGGGACCAAATAAGGGCTTAATGACATTTAGTGTCACACTTCATGTTCTTTATCAACCGAAGTCGAAATGTTTGATTCATTTTGAGTCTCTTACTACGGGTCTTTAGATCTTTTGTAATGTTTGTTTTGTGAGCTCATATATGCACGAAGTAATTGTATTCAATTTTTGATATGTACACATTTATTTACCCGATAAAAAAAGTATTTAGAGGGAATTCATTACTATAACCCATGTTGGACAAGTCTAAATTAAAATCAATAATTTATTTTAATAATTTATTTTATGTGTCTTACAACTTTTTAATCATATCATTCATCAACTTTTATTAAAATTTGTTAAAAAAATTAATTTTAATCTACCAAACAGGGACATAATGTAATAGCTCTCATGAGAAAATTTTGGTATCGATACTTGGGATGTACTCATAAGAAATACGAGATTACATACATTTGTTTGTTACACTCAAAACTTTTCTTATTAACGTACAAAATTATTGTATTAACAGAATATGTGATTGTGAATGAATTTAAAGAATATTAACTAAAAAAATAGTAAAATAAAAAGCTTTTGTTTTTAAAATCAGATTTTTAGTAGGTTTTGATAAAATTTGATAAATTGTGTAGTTAAAAAGTTGTGGATCCCATAAAATTTATGATTAAAATTAACTATTTACTTTGACTTAAAATTTTAATTCAAACTAAACTTGAGCTAAAAGATGTTCAAGTATATTCGTCCTAAATCTCTCCGATGTGAAATCAATAATAAGTAAATCAATTTGTTGCCATTCAAAATTTGTCAACTATGCCACCCAACAAGGCTTGGTTAGTTCTTTTCGTCACCAAACAATGTACTTTGTCTCCAAAGTGGTAGTCCTTCAAAACCCTAAAACGATGTAGTGGCCCCACTGCCACGAGTTGAAGATCCACACAATTGGAGCAACAATGATTGGTTTATAGAAGATGCCAACCCCCCACCCCAACAAGCCCCAAATGGAAAACTCACAAGTCATATGAGCCGAAGAATCTTAAAAGATGTAAGGGTCAATTTCATCATTTACGAGCATCTACTTATTCGTATTTATTAGTTACTCAATAAAAATTAGAATCATGCTACATGTACAATATTGGTTGACAACACTGGATGACAACATCCTCCTGACATTATCATATCCACCAATTGTAAAAAATTAATTTTTACATCACATAATAGGATTTTGACAACACGTAATTGTCAACTATTGTTGTCAACTAATATTGTACACTTAGATTTATTTTAAAAATTACGATACATCACGTTAAATTACTCGGTAATCATAATTTTTCGAGACCTTGTAATTATGTAGTTCCATTACCACCTCTTGAAGATGAACAAAATTTGAGCAACATTGATTAGACACCATCCCCATCCCACTTTCCAAAATTGAAAATTTTCCATGTATTTGGTCTATTCAGACCTCGTTTGATTCCCTTTCTTTTTCACTATTTTTTTTTCATTGGATTATTTTCAATGACACGTCCACGTAATAAAATATTTTGCACGGAAATTCAAAATTTTTCTTACTTCTTAATCATACATTTTTGTTAAACACTATTCAAAACTCCTCCTCTTTTCAAAAAAATAAAAAAAGAATAGGCACCAAACAGGGACTCAATAGTTTTGGAGGTGTCCTCAATGGTATAATTGAGAATGAAATCATTAGATTCCTCATTAGACGGCCATGGTAGGGTAAGTGGGGGGCCCTTGTTTATCATTTTGTTGACATCATCAATGCCAACAACACTTCATGGGTGTCAAACTTTAATCATTAATTAATTGTTTATTTTGCACCAATTAATTTAATTATTTTTTTAACGTACATTTGTGCCACTTAATTAGTCTTCTCAAAATAATTCTACAAGATGATGATTAATTGAAGGTCCGGTTCATTGGTGACAAATTTAAAAAAAAAATGATTATTTTAAAGCTTTACATTAATTTTTTATTTGCAAGACTTGCTAATGTTTTATTATTATTATTATTATTATTATTTCTTTTTATAAATCATTTTAAATTCGCTAAACGAAAGCTAAATATGATTTAATATTGTTAAAAAGAAAATGAATTTAAAAATTTATTTGATGTAATGTGCAGTTGTGTCCAATGTTATAAATTAACATCATGCTTATTCAAAATTGTAAGAAATTCTAAGTGGGAATACATGAAGTTACACAAGGACTAGACTTCCTAAGCATAATTGGCCCACAATAATGTTGAAATGAATGTAGAATAGAACTTTAAGTCTCAAATTGGTGACATAGTCCCACCATGGATCCGACAATCCCTCGTAATCAGAAATTATAAAGAAAAGAAATATGTTAATGGCTTCAGCTTATAAGTACCACCAAATTTTCTACTTTTCTTTTCTATTTTTATTTTTTAAATATGAAAACCACAAATATATGTCCAGATGTATGTTGATTTATTTCAGAGAACATATCACAGTACAATCCCACCAAAACTTCCACAATCGGCAAAGCTACCTCTGCCGGGAAAATACAACATTTCAATACCTAGTAATGTTCCACGAGCCATATCAATCACTGTACCACCACCACCACCAAGTCATGAAGTTCCAATCCTAGATGTAGATGACACTGTGACTGCCTGTTGGGACTACCAATTTCTTTTTGTCTCACAACGTGCAGAAGCTGTTGAACCGATCAATCTCCGACTAGTTGAGGGTGAAATACCGCGTGATTTTCCATCGGGGGCGTATTATCTCACTGGATTGGGGCTATTCTCCGATGATCATGGCTCGACTGTACACCCGCTAGATGGTCATGGTTATCTAAGAGCATTCACCATTGATGGATCAAAAGGGCAAGTCAAGGTCATGGCTAGGTACATTCAGACTGAGGCGAAATCCGAGGAACGTGATCCTATGACCGGAAAGTGGCGGTTCACTCACCAGGGACCGTTTTCAGTGTTGAAAGGTGGGAAAATGGTTGGGAATACTAAGGTCATGAAAAATGTTGCAAATATTAGTGTGTTAAGATGGGGTGGTAGGTGGTTTTGTTTGTGGGACGGTGGCGACCCTTATGAAATTGAATCTAAGATGTTGGATACCGTCGGAGAGTTCGATGTTGTTAAGGATGATCAGAAAAAAAATTCCGGCGACAGAGGGTTTAAGGTTGTTGATGTTTGGGATGTTGCTGCAGAAATTTTAAAGCCAATACTATATGGTAAGCTTGTAAATAATCGTGCCATGGTCGCATGCCTTACCATAAATTATCCACAAATTAAAGCAGCCCATTTGTTGCAGTCTCATAAATTATAAGAATGGATCAATTTTTGCAGGAGTATTCAATATGCCCCCTAAGTTTTGAGTCTCTTACTATGGATCTTTAGATATTTTGTAATGTTTGTTTTGTGAGCTCTGGAATGCACGAAATACTTGTATTCAATTTTTGATCTATACACATTTATTTACCCGATAAAAAAAAAGTATTTAGAGGGAATTAATTAGTATAACCCATGTTTGGCGAATTTAAGTTAAAGTCAATAATTACTTTTAATCATTTATTTTATGGGACTTACAACTTTTTAACCATATATTTTCATTAACTTTTTATTAAAAATTGCTAAAAAATTGATTTTAATCTACCGAACAAGGTCATAATGTAATAGCTCTCATGAGAAACTTTTGGTATCGATACTTGGGATGCACTCATAAAAAATACAAGATTACATACATTTGTTTGTCACACTCAAAACTTTTCTTATTTACATATAAAATTATTGTATTAATAAAATATGTGATTGAAAATGAATTTAAAGAATATTAACTAAAAATTAGTAAAATACTAAAGACGTTCGAGTATATTCGTCCTAAATCCCTCCGATGTGAAATCAATAATAAGTAAATCAATTTGTTGCCATTCAAAATTTGTCAACTACGCCACCAAAACAAGGTTTTCGTCACCAAACAATGCACTTTGTCTCCAAAGTGGTAGTTCTTCAAAACCCTAAAACGATGTAGTGGCCCCACTGCCACGAGTTGAAGATCCACACGATTGGAGCAACATTGATTGGATTATAGAAGATGCAAACCCCCACCCCCAAGCCCCAAATGGAAAACTCACAAGTCATATGAGACGAAGAATCTTAAAAGAAATACCCTTTAAGTTTGTTTTAGGAAAATGTATACGGGTCAATTTCATCATTTACGAGCATCTACTTATTCGTATTTATTGTTACTCAATAAAAACTACGATACATCGCGTTAAATTACTCAGTAATCATAGTTTTTCGAGACCGTAAACTATGTAGTTCCATTACCACCTCTTGAAGATGAACAAAATTTGAGCAACATTGATTAGACACCATCCCCATTCCACTTTCCAAAATTGAAAAAAAATTATGCATTTGGTCTATTCAGACTCTGTTTGGTTCCCATGCTTTTCACTTTTTTTTTTCACATGATTATTTTCATTCACTCATTCATGTAATAAAATATTCTACACGTAAATTTACAAAAAAAAAAATCTTATTTTTTAACCATACATTTTTTTAAAACACTATCCAAAACTGAAAAAATAAAATAAAATAATAGGCACCAGATCCTCAATGGTATAATTGAGAATGAAATCATCAGATTCCTCCTTAGACGGCCATGACAGGGTAAGTGGAGGCCCCTTGTTTGTCATTTTGTCGACGGTATCAATGCCAACAACACTTCGTGGTATCAAACTTATAATCATTAATTAATTGTTTATTTTGCACCAATTAATTTAATTATTTATTTAACATACATTTGTGCCACTTAATTAGTCTTCTCAAAATCATTCTATGAGATGATGATTACTTGAAGGTCCGGTTCATTGGTGACAAATGTTAAAAATATTGATTATTAGCTTTATATTATTTTTTTATTTGCAAGACTTGCTAATGTTTTTTTTTTCATAGTCGACTCCCATAGCTCATATTTCTATATAATACGTTCATGCCTCCTTTGGTATCACCTCCACCACCACCCTTCAGAGGAAGAGCCAAAAAAAATGCAGGCCATAACATATCATAGTACAATCCCACCAAAACTTCCACAGTCGGCAAAGTTACCTTCGCGGGGAAAGTACAACATTTCAATACCTAGTAATGTTCCACGAGCCATATCAATCACTGCACCACCACCACCAACTCGTGAAGTTCCAATCCTAGATGTAGATGACACTGTGACTGCCTTTTGGGACTACCAATTTCTTTTTGTCTCACAACGTGCAGAAGCTGCTGAACCGATCAATCTCCGATTAGTAGAGGGCGAAATACCGCGTGATTTTCCATCAGGAACGTATTATCTCACCGGACCGGGACTATTCTCCGATGATCATGGCTCGACTGTGCACCCTCTAGATGGTCATGGCTATCTAAGAGCATTCACCATTGATGGATCAAAAGGGCAAGTCAAGTTCATGGCTAGGTACATTCAGACCGAGGCGCAATCCGAGGAACGTGATCCGATGACCGGAAAGTGGCGGTTCACTCACCGGGGACCGTTTTCGGTGTTGAAAGGTGGGAAAATGGTTGGGAATACTAAGGTCATGAAAAATGTTGCAAATACTAGTGTGTTACGATGGGGTGGTAGGTTGTTTTGTTTGTGGGAAGGTGGTGACCCTTATGAAATTGAATCTAGGACGTTGGATACTGTCGGAGAGTTCGATGTTGTTAAGGATGATCAGAAAAAAAATTCCGTCGACAAGGGGTTTAAGGTTGTTGATGTTTGGGATGTTGCTGCAGAAATATTAAAGCCAATATTATATGGTAAGCATAAACCATATTATATTAGTGAATCTCTTTTTCTATTATACGTTGAAAACTCTCTGATCCTAGTCTCACGTTGTCATAACCTTTTTTTTAATGCCATGTTCCACGTTACTTTTAAAACGATTGAATTGTTAGATTGATCAATATCAGAAAAAAAAATAGAATCGAAGAATTTTCGTGTAATTCATTAGTAGCACCAAATCTATTCTGTGTCTATTCAAATCTTAATAACGTCACGCTAAATATGTAAAAATAGTTAAATTATCTAAGCTCGTAAATAGTCGTGCCGTCGTTGCATGCCTTATAATAAATTATACACAAATTGAAGCAGTCCATTTGTTTCAGTCTTACTCTTACATAAATTATAAGAATGGATCAATTTTTGCAGGAGTATTCAATATGCCCCCCAAGAGATTTTTGTCCCATTACAAGATTGATGCCCGAAGAGGAAGACTTTTGATAATTTCGTGTAATGCAGAAGACATGTTACTCCCTCGTAGTAATTTTACATTTTACGGTTAGTATACTTTACATATTTATCTGAGTTTGGTTTTAACATATTTTATTAAATATAATGGTCTGTTTCCTTGATTAATTTCAGAGTTTGATTCAAATTTTAAGTTGCTGCAAAGCCAAGAATTCATCATCCCGGATCACCTAATGATCCATGATTGGGCCTTCACCGATTCTCATTACATATTGTTTGGTAACCGTATTAAGCTAGACATTGCAGGTAATCAAACCCAGTTTTCTGATTCTCAATTGATTGGTGGAGTTTTTACAAAATTGCTCATATCGGGATTTGAATTGCAGGATCAATAGCAGCAGTATGCGGTTTATCTCCGATGATATCTGCATTAAAAGTAAATCCAAGCAAGCCCACATCTCCTATATATTTGCTTCCCAGATCCAAAACTGAAGAAATGAGAGATTGGAGAATTCCCATTGAAGCTCCTTCTCAGTTATGGGTACTCCATGTGGGAAATGCTTTTGAAGAAAAACTTAAGAATGGAAATGTTGAGATTCAAATTCAAGCCAGTGGTTGCTCTTATCAATGGTTCAATTTCCAGAAAATGTTTGGTAAATAGCCAGCCTTTCTAACACTCACCTTTTGCATTATCAGTGTGAACAAATTTTATTATTCTTTTGTAGGATATGATTGGCGAAGCGGAAAGTTAGATCCTTCTACGATGAATCCTAAACAAGGGCAAGAAAAGTTCTTACCACACCTAATTGAGGTCTCTTTCTCTCTCTCTCCCTCTCTGAATTCATTTGTAAGCTTTTAATCAATTATTTGAAGATAATATTTAATTTCCAACTGGTTATATAATCCAGGTGTCTATAAGTTTGGAGCAAAATGGGGATTGCCAGAAGTGTTGTATAAATGATCTGAATCAATGGAATAAAGCAACAGATTTCCCTGTGATCAATCAAGATTTCTGTGGTGGAAAAAATACATATATTTATGCAGCAACTACTTCTGGTTTGCGCCAAGCTTTGCCAAATTTTCCATTTGATACAGTAGTAAAGCTCAACACCATAGACAAGTCCTTGCACGGTACTTGGTCTACTCGTAGACGAAGATTCATCGGTGAGCCCGTTTTTATCTCAAAAGGCAGAGAAGAAGACGATGGCTATCTTCTCGTAGTGGAGGTGAGAATACGTGAATAAAATGGAGTATAATTTATGGAGTTGCAGATTTTAACAGAATTTTGTACTTGATTTTGCAGTATGCAGTTTCAACCCAAAGGTGCTATTTGGTTATTCTGGATTCCAAACTTATAGGAGAGAAGAATGCACTTGTTGCAAGATTTGAAGTTCCAAGACATTTGAATTTTCCTCTTGGCTTTCACGGATTTTGGGCTCCTAGATAATTAGCTCGAAGCCTTAATCACAAGTATTCTTAGTGATCGCAACCAATAACTCGAAGGCAAGGCATTGAAGAGAGGAACTTGACGTAAAGTTGGACTTTTGCGAACTATGCAAAAGATTGGATAGATTTGTTGTCCAATCTCAATCGAATATGTATTGTGTATATAGACCTATAAATAATTGGAAAATGGTCTTAACAATGTAAGGTGTAACTGCAAGAAAACATTTTGGACTTTGATCAGCTCGAACTTTTCCAACTAGATTTTGCTGTTTGGACATGATCTCCAACAGAAAAGTGTAGCTATGGCCCTTTGTGTGGCTATGACGTCAGTCCAGCCCACATAAGGCAACGATGATATGGCCTTCGACCCAATCCTAATACCCTTAATCAACTGAAATGAAGCCCAGCTCCCTCAGTCCAATACTCGGTCCGGTAATAAGCGTGTTTGGCTATTGCAACTTTGGTTGTATCTTTTCTTCCAGAAGCGTGAGTTTCTCTGGACCGTTGGATTAACTGTTGCCCAATCTCGATACACTGATATTTTGGGTATTTGATTGGTTTTCTCTCATTCGATTGCTATTCATTCTTCTTGAGGTTTTTTCTAGAGTTTTCTGTACTTTCTATCTTTCATCTTCTTTTTCTGTGAGGAACTCTTGAATCAATTTCTTGAGTGTGTTTTCTTTGAGAATCTAGTGAATAGGAACTCTATTATTGTTGGTAACGTTGAGCTCTTCTGGTCCATAGAAGAAGCTACACGCTTACTGTGAATCATGAGGGATTTGGGTGGAACTGGGCTTTCATAGTGTTGATACATACTGGTACAATGTTATGAGCCTTCGATCTGGGAAATTTTGATGTTCAGTGGAAAAGGAGCTTATACTTTTGTAATAGGATTTTATAGTTTCTTCGATCTGTAATATTCAATTAGCGTTTTGTATAACACCCTTTTTAGCCTTATTCTTTAAAACTCTTTTGTTTCTATGGTCTAGTTGGCAGAGAATGAATAGAAATTGCTTGATACGAGGCTATTTGTATAATTTTGTAAGTAGGGAAAGTCGAAAGATTAAAGTTTTGGTTTTGCATCCCGTAGTTTGTTGATTAGTCCTAGGAGATTGTTGGGTCTCGAACCTATGACCTGCCTGATGAATTGTGCTTTCAACAATTCTATTACTAAAGTCGTGTTTTCTAGAATGACACTTTTATTATTTTGAGACAATGGCTGGATTGTTGACACTTGGCACACCACTCGCCATTGGATGAGATTCTAGAGTCTTCGACTCTTTAACTTCGATGATACGCCTCATTCTCCTAGATAATTAGCTCGAAGCCTAAATCACAAAGTATTCTTAGTGATCGCAACCCATAACTCGAAGGCAAGGCATTGAAGAGAGGAACTTGACGTAAAGTTGAACTTTTGCGAAATATGCAAAAGATTGAGTAGATTTGTTGTCCATTCTCAATTGAATATGTGTTGTGTATATAGACCTATAAATAATTGGAAAATGGTCTTACAATGTAAAATGTAAATGCAAGAAAACATTTTGTACTTTGATTAGCTCGAACTTTTCCAATTAGGCTATGTTTTATAGCCTAAATTTTTCATGGTCCATTTTCATGTAACACTTGTCGACACGCAAAATTTGGCAAAAAAAAAAATTTCACTTTAATGGACAATTTTCATATAAAACGAAACCAAACGAACACTAAATTTTGATGAAAAATTATGAAAAAAATAGTTTTCAAGCAACCTTTTTTTAAAAAAAAACTTTTTGGCAATGATAACAAATTTCATAACCAATTGTAAAAAAAAAAAATCACTTTAATGAACAATTTTCATGTAACTTTAATGAACAATTTCCATGTAAAATAAAGCAAAATGTGAACAAAAAGATTCAAAATTTTAAAATTTTCCAAGTGAAAAATTATATCAATCAAACACACTTCATTAACAATTCCCTAAAAATCAAGTTCTAGACAATTATTTTCTTTGGAATTCATTTTTTTCCACCCATTTTTTGCCCTTTCAATTAAATGGACCGTTAGATTTTGTTGTTTGGACATGATCTCCAACAGAAAAGTGTTGCTATGGCCCTTTTTAGCTTCATTCTTTAAAACTCTTTTGTTTCCATGGACTAGTTGGCAGAGAATGATTAAAAATTGCTTGATACGAGGCTCTTTGTTTAATTTTGTAAGTAGGGAAAGTCGAAAGATAAAAGTTTTGGTTTTGCATCCCCATAGTTTGTTGATTATTACTATGATATAATATTAAGAATTTGGGTTCCATTTCAAAAAGTCAATCTTATTTAGACGAGTAACACAATCCTTTATAAGTTGGTTTATGTTTACATTTTTATTCGATATGGGATTTTATTTATTAACATGTCCTCGCAAGATGGTAGCTCGTTTGAGCAGACCAATCTTGAAATCTGTATGCTCACTTTTGGAGTCTTAACCGGTGATTTTATCTCTTAATATGCTCTCACAAAATGGTGGCTCGTTTGAGCAGACCAATCTTGACATCCGTATGCTTGCTTTTGGAGTTTAGATCGAATTGAATTACTCATTCAAGTTAATGGACTCTGATACCATGTTAAGAATTGAGATTTCATCTTAAAAAGTCGACCTTATTAAAAGAAGTAATCCAATCATTTATAATTTGGTTTATGTTTACATCTTTACTTGATGTAGGATTGTATCACTTAACAGATAAAATGTTTACTTCAAATCATTGCAGGTGATGATGAGATTGTGAGTGAGGCTAAACATACAAGTGAAATGGTTGAAAAGGTGCCCATAGATCAAATGGCAGGGATGGGTACCACCACCAGGATTATTTTTAAGGAGTCGATAACCATTCCAGAAAAAATCCATGCTGCGACTACAGAGTCAATGGCTTCTATGGAGGCCTTTTTAGTTGTGGCAGATATTAATGACATGAAATCTTCAGCAACAGCAGCTGATGCAAAGGTACCATCAACGAAGGAAATTGATGACGAGCCTCTGAGAATTCGTCTGCTGAATCCGAAGTTTTTGATGGAGAAGAATTAAGTAATCGTGCATCTGGGAGTATTGCATCTCGCGAGTCATCTCCATGAACTTATCATGAACATATTCTCCAAAATCATGCCTAGGGGTGTCCAAAAGTCCCGAACCGAACCGGATCGAACCGAACCCGAACCGAACCGAACCGAACCGAGCGGTTCTTCATAAATTAAATACCCGAACGGGTACCCGAATCCAGAACCGATGGGTTTGGGTCGGTTCTCGGGTCTAGACCAAGAACCGAAGAACCGAACAAGAACCGAAACTAAATAATTTTTTTATTTTTTATATTGAATTAATTAAATTATTTTATTTTTTTTCTATACAAATTAGCAAATTAATTGAATAAATTAGATTATTTCATAATTTTAATTTTTAAGCCCAAATCATTTTAAAATCCATTAGCCCATTTTAATTTGAAGCAAATGAATATACTTTATG